GATATTTTCCATTCTTCTTTGCCTATCTGAATGCCCTTTATGTTATTCTCTTTCTGATTGCATTGGCTAAGACTTTCAGCACTTATATTGAAAAGAAGTAGAGAAAGTGGGCAGCCTTGTCTAGTACTTTTAGTGGAAAAGCTCTGATCTTTTCCCCATTTAGTATAATGTTAGCTATAGTTTTTTTTTTTTTTCATACATGGCTTTTATTGTGTTGAGAAATGACCCTTCTATACCAATCTTGCTAAGAGTCTTAATCATGACGGGATGTTATATTTTATTAAATGCTTTCTCTGCATCGATTGAAATGATCATATGGTTTTTATCTTTCTTTCTGTTAATATGGTGTATTATGTTTATGGTCTTGTGTATGTTGAACCATCCTTGCATCCCTGGAATAATGTCTACCTGGTTATGATAAATAATATTTGTTATATGTTGTTGGATACAATTTGCAAGTATCTTGTTGAAAATTTTTTCATTTTATTCATCAGAGGTATTGGTCTGTAGTTTTCCTTTTTTGTCATCTCTTTTTTGGGAGTGAGGATGATGGAGGCTTCATAAAATGAATTTGAGAATTTTGGATTTTTAGAAATAATTTGAGCTGTTTCTAGTTACTGGCTATTACAAATAGAAACCTTGCTATACCTGATACACAAATCAAAACATTTCTCCAGAATATAGAGCCAGAAGAAGAATTCATTAAAGAGGATATGCAAAATACTTGCTCCAATCTACATTCCAAAAGGCACTGTATGATAGGTCCCATTTCTCTACTTCTTTGCCAACACTTTTACTATAGTCAAAATATTTTGTTGATCTGATAGGCATGTAATGGCACCCCTGATTACTAAACAAATTGAATGTCTTGGGACCAGCAGTTGGTGTAATGGCTATGTCGCTGGACTGCCATGTAGTCGATTGAGGTTTGAGTCCCAGACCCTGTGGCCTGAATTCATGCCATGTGCGTGCGTGCCCAAGATCCCGAGAGGAGGATGGAGGAGAAGGGATTGTAGCATCTGTGGGGGCTGATTTCTCACTTTGTCTTTCTGTCTGTCTCTGTCTTTCTGGCAAGCACATGTACCCTATAACAAAAATCTCTCCAAAACCAAAAAAAATTGAATGTCTTGTATTTTCTACCTACCATTTATATATGTTATTATGCATTTCTTTAGGAAGGTATGTTTTCCATGCCACACTTTAAGGAATGTTTCCAAGTATGACTATGTCTTCTACTTTTGGAAAGCTTATATACCTAGTCCATGAGCAAGAAATTCAAAATGCTCAGGCCAAGATGAGATTATTTCTGTGAAAAGATCTTGCTCAAATCCTGTGGTCGGGGTCCTTCAGTATCACTTGTAGAATCTTCTACTTAGGACACAATATGACCAAGGTTTAGTTGTATGTTACAGACCATTTGTATAAAGGACCTAAGAGAGGGAACCAGCAGTTAGCGTAATGGCTATGTCGCTGGACTCCCACGTAGTCGACCGCGGTTCGTGTCCCGGACCCAGTGGCTTAAAACTCATGCCGGGCGTGTGTGCGTGCGTGCCCAAGATCCCGAGAGGAGAATGGAGGAGAAGGGATTGCGGCGTGACCATCCCCCCTGGGGGGTGATTTCTCACTTTCTGTCTCTATGTCTCTCTCTGTCTGTCTGGCGAGCGCACACGCCCTACAGTGAAAATCTCTCCAAAAAAAAAAAAAGTAAAGGACCTAAGAGAAAGGAGAAAGTATAACAGAGGAAACACGGCTAATTTTTGTTTATATTCTAAATATAATACATGAAAAAAAATCAAGTAACAAAGTCTAAAGAAGGTAAAATATTTTTTGTCCCTCAGAGATAAAAATCTATTAGCAGTTTATTCTACAACACCAGCATTTGGTTTTACTTTAAAAAATTAATTTTATTACTTGTTATAGGGTACATGTGTACAACAGAGGAAAGAGACAGAAAAAGTGAGAAAGCAAGCTATCATATCTAGGACTCAAACCTCGGTCAGCCATATGTGGGAGTCCAGCATCTTAACTACAATGTCATCTGCTGGCCCCCATTTTTTACTTTTTAATTGACCTATTATAATTGTACATATTTATAGGGTACAATATGATTTCACAGTACAAGAATACAATGTGTAATGATTAAACCACAGTTATTAGCATATCCATTATCTCAAACATTTGTCATTGTTTTGGGAACATTCAGAACCCTCCATTTTAACTAATTCAAGATAAAAAAAAAAAAACACACATTGCTCTTAACTGTGGTTACCCTATTGTACTAAGTAACACTAGACCTTGTTCTTCTTATTGGTAATTCTGTGTCCATTAACAAAAATCTCTCTAACCCCCTCCTCCTGACCCTTTCCAGACTTTAGTAATCACTATTCTCTCATTTTATGAGTTCCTCTTATTTAGTTTCCACAGATGACGGGAATGATCCAGTATTTCTTTCTGTGCCTGGCTTATTTCAGTTAATATAATGTCTTCTAGGCTTACCCATTTTGCTTCAAATATAGGATTTCATTCTCTTTAATGGTTGAGTAGTGTTCCATTATGTATGTATTTCACATTTTCTTTATCCATTTGTCTGTTGATAGACACTTAGGTTGAGCATTTTTTCCCTGACTTTGTTGGCTGTTGAAAAATATCTATTCAGGGGCCAGCAGTTGGTGTAATGGCTATGTCGCTGAACTCCCATGTAGTCAACTGCAGTTCGAGTCCCAGTGGTTTAAACTCACACTGGGCACATGTGTGTGCATGCTCAAGATCCCAAGAGGAGAATGGCGGAGAAGGGATTGCAGCATGGCCATCCCCCCTAGGGGGTGATTTCTCTCTGTCTCTTTCTGGCGAGCACATGTGCCCTATAGCAAAAACCTCTCAAAAAAAAAAAA